AATGTTATATCTGTGGTATGTGGTCGCAGTAGCTGCTCAAGAGATCTGGTATTATGTCCCTATTCTTAGTAATGATGAAACTCTAAAAGGCTCATAGAGTCACAGCAACTAAGTGTGGACAATATGTCACAGGTACCAGTAGTATTGGTGTTTTGCCATCATTAATATGAATTGTAACAATTGAAGAGAATTCTAACATTTCCATTTGGGAAAATATTTTACACCCCCATATCCTTGACTTTCAGGAAGATCATCATGGTAATCAACCAACGCATTGCCTTTCCTAAATATCTTCCATTACTCCCACATGCATTTTCAAAATTATACTTACTTAGGTTTTTTTAGGTATTTCTGGCAAATTTCATCTTACTGATGCCAATGAAAGCTAGCAAAAAATGAAGCTCTATATTCCCTGTATTGCTTGCAAAACATTTACTGAAAATTTTGACCTGACTTGGCTTCTTTTCTGTGTCTCAGATACAGCATAGAATATACTGTGTTTTGTGTTTTCTTGTCTATAAAAATGATGGTAGCACTTCTACTTAAATAAATATGCTTTGTGATAGGTAAGATTATTATAAGCTAAACGAACGACATAATGCATTTCTTCAATTTTACTTGAGTGTCCTCTTCTTTTACTTTGTGAATTTTCACTGCATCCTGCCCAAAGGAACTTTACATCCTAAATCTCCTAAAGGCTGATTCTCATCTATGTTCACTATAGCTGTTTTATAAACCAAATAATTACCTGATAGCAAAGTACATGTGTAGCTAATGATAAAAAAGCTCTTCTATTCAAAAAGAAATATGTGAAAATCCCAAAATCCCTGGGCAGGAGAAAATGTAGTTCATTATTCCATTTGACTGCAGGGACTTTTTATCTCATATTGATAACATTTAGTGTGATAGAACAGATGTCAATGTATTTTGTTTATTATTTTAAGATTAAAAACCTTGCTATTTTGCTGTGTAATGTAGATAAGATCTTAGCAATTTATGTTTAGATAGTTTAATTGCCTCAATTGTTGGGCAGAAGAAGCAGCAAGAGCAGCCTGCAGTTTGCCTGACCCTTTTCTATCAAATTGAAGTATTATTATGTACTGTACTATATTCAGCTTCATCTGGAAAAAAGCACAATCTGTTCTTTTTAAGCTTCTTAGTTTCTAGTACTGATTCATTGGAAGTGGAACTAACAGATTGTTATAGTTAGACTGTAGGTGGGGATGCATATGCTTGAGTTTTGAACAAAATTCCAGCTCCAAAGTAGGGAATAATCTTTTGCATGATGATGTAATTGATTTTTTTTAAAAAACATGCAGAGACATATGGGAGTAGCTTTTGAACTGGGCTTAGGGCCAGACGTTCAGGTAGGCAATATGCAGGATTCAGGCTGGCATTTTAAAAGAACCCAGCTGCCAGTTGTTGCCAGGAGTATAGGACATATTTACAAAACCCATGAACAGCTAGCAGCTCTGATTACACCGCTGACAGACAAACTTTCAAAAAGATATGAACATTCAGTAAAAAATGGTGATACTTCCTCCAGCAGAACCAGTCACAATATAGAGGTGCCAGTTTCCAAACGCTGAAATGGAGTTTGATGGGGGAGGAGGAGCTGAATATAAATTGACCATACTTCAGCTCCAGGTTGTGGTGTTTGCTGAGTCTTTTCTGCTGAACTGGAACTAGCTAAGCAAAAAAAAAAAAAAAAAAAAAAAGTCCCTCCCTTTTGTTTAACTTTTCCTTAGAATCTTTCTTTAAATTTAGAAGTGGAAACAAAATAACTGCATGAATAAACTGTCAGGAAGTAGGCAGCTTCCATACAGGGGACTCGCAGAAGCTGTTGCTTTGGTTCCAGCATAGGGGTTCTGAATTAATTTTCACTTGGAAGTGAAACTACAAACTCTTTCTCAGAGTCAGGCTGCATAAGTACTTCACCTTGTTTGTCATGTGTGCAAGTCCAGAGGTCCCCATATCCTTCTCCTTGCGTCATAGACCTGGCTGAAGTGTGGGAACTGCCCTGTCAGTAGAAACTTGTTCTTGCCATGACAGTTTTAGTAGTAGTAAGATGGATAATGCCACAGTTCAAGAACCAAATGTCCATGAGGAGCCCAGTTCTTCCACTGTGATTCTTACATCTCATTCTCAAGGAAATGATGCAATGTAACTTCCCCAGTTTCCCACGCCCATTCTCTCAGTGCTATATATATGCCTTCAGGCATCTACAGGTTTTCCACAGACAGAAGAATAGCTCAATGGAAATTCATGCTAATATATGGTGCAAAGGAGTTTAGCAGAAAAGATTTTCTTTTTCCATCAAGGAGTGTTCATTATCCCCACAGTATATCTCAAACCTCATCAAAACTCTTGTACAACAGGAGAATTCACTATGAATTATTAATTGAGTGGAGTTTAATCAGCAATGATCATAACAAGAGCTCCACTAGTATATTTGTACGAGCATCTTGGAGCAAAGCTACTTTCTGTTTTCATCAAGACTCCCTTAGGCTCATGCCATACAGCTATAGTTTTCCCAGTTAGAGAACTCAAGTCACTCTCAGATTTGGACTGCCAGGATGTTTTTCTTCCAAATGTTAGATATGTAACACTTTGCTATGTGGCCTTGGTCGTTTAACATGTTTCCTTTCATTTTAGATGATGCATCACTTTCTGTATGGGTTCACAAAATTTCCCTGTCTTGATATATGATAAATCCATAGCATTTGTGCCAGAGCAGCGTTTATTTGACTCAAAAAATAGTTAATGCACCTCATGTTCATTGCAAGACCTACAATTTTTCAGTACTGTAATTAAACCTATTCCTAACTTTATAGCAAGGCTTAGGGTAACAGTTTAAAATGCTTTCAAACAAAGAGTACAGTATCTGGAACTTACAGCTCCAGTTCTGTAAGTGAATTAGACCTGGCTGTGCATTTCCCATTGACAGTTTTTTGACAGAAAATTAAATCTTCAGAATTTCAGTCTCTGAGTTATACTGTGGAACAGCTTTTCCTCAAACTCCCGACTTCTGTGGCAGTTTGATAGGATTTTTTTTTCCTCTTTTTTTTTCCTGTTAGGAAAAATGAAACAGAACATTTAGTGTTGATCCAGATTGACCTAAATGAGAATAATTTTAAACAAAGTAGTGTATTTCCTGTCAAAGAGCTTAATTTTATTTTAGATGGCCTCAGGGCCCAGTAGGGGTTATATGTGACTGACTCCCATTTTTCCTTCAGACTGACTTCTGAGGCTATAATACATCTTTCATGAGGCACCACATTTTTGACCACTGGCTGAACTGTTTCAGCATCTCATGGGAATCACTTGATGCTCATGTATCACAGGAAATGTATTTTGCCCTAAGAGCGTGACACATGGGGACACACAGGACATCTGATTTACAACTCCCAGAAAACAATACAACAACTGAGTTTAGAAATCCTACGATGTTTTGTCCAGTCACAATTTGTATAGCAATGGCTTTTCCATCAGGCATGATCACAAAAGGGAGGAAAATTAAAGTGATACTAGCTAAGGAGGTCTGCATTCAGGCTGCTTTTCTGATTGGGTACTATTTGGAAAATTCAAGGTCTCACTGATTCATTCCTGATGTGAAATGAAAGCAATAGTATTTCCTCTTTTCTGCTTTTTGTCTCTTTTGGCTATTCAGATGGCAAGTTCTTCAGACTGGAGACTGTTTTTCACGTTTATGTACAGTGCTGAGCCTAATGCAGCCTCTAAACACTAGCACCAGAGCGACAGGGAGGATTCCCCAGGTGGGCAAGCTGGGTGCTTGGTGGCTCCAATGTCCAAGGCCACAAAAACAGATGACAGCCCAAATCCAGTTGTCTGATTCTCACTGCTGCACATGCATTTTCTTTGTCAGTGCTCTTATATACTTGTAGCTATGCTGGTGAAAGAAGGCATTTTCCTTACAGATTCTTCCATTTACAAACTAACAGAAATAAATGCACAATCAACAGTTCCTTGCACCAACATTACTTAACACTATCAGTCTTATTACTTCATTGACTATGTTTCTGTGGAATATTACTGAGGGGTTAAGGCAGAGAAAGATATCCTGCCTCAAAGGTGTTCTTATTTAAATGAGACATGAAACAGATTTAGACAGCCAGGTGAAGGCGCACAGGGAACAAAAGAGACAATCCTAGTCAGGATGATTGTCAGTGGTATTAGTACACCTACTGTTTCAGCACTGTGACTTTTATGTAGGCCTGGAAATTAAGAATTTTCCATGGTGAGACAGAATAAATAACAATAAATACATTTATCTGTTAATGTCTATTATCAGTTTATACCACAAGGGAAGTATATATTGAAAGAAAATATTAAGTTTTTCCTGTTGAGTTGGTAGACATTTAACTAAAAAAAAAAAAAAAAAAACCAAAACAATTAGTTCATCTGTGATCCTGTGACCTCTGTAATGCTAATCCTCAATTTTGCCACCCATTCTCCTGAGTCACCAGAACTTCTTTCCTCATAAGATACCTTTCAATGTAATTAAAAAATTGTTGGTTTTCAGATTGCATTATGAACAAAGTCATGTTGTTATGAGTCATTGTTTTGTTTTACTTATATTTAAAATATTTATTCTGAATATATATTTTTATATTTTCTGAAGTAAAACTCAGAGTACTTGACTGCATTTAGTGAACTTAAGAGAATCAAAAGAGACTGCAATTCATACCTACATTGTTGTAGATATTTGGATGAAGATCCTCAAAGGTATTGAGGTACCTAACAGCTGATTTCAACAGAGATATAAGCTCCTAAACAGAAGTGAGGTTTATGGGAAAATATGTTGGTCTTGACTTGAAAAATGGATTAATAAATTTAAATGTTAATGTTATCTTGTTAATATTGGTACACTAATCTCTATGCAGATATGTGACATATTCTTTAAAGTATTTGCTGCTTCCCAAGCAAGAAAAGCTTCTGCAAAATTTAATATATGCATATGTGTTTCTGTTTGTATTTAGGAAACTATGGTGAAAGTGGAATGGAAGCTTTCAAAGATATGGCGGCCAAGGAAGGGATCTGCATTGCACATTCCTACAAGATCTATAGCAATGCTGGTGAACAGAGCTTTGACAAACTGCTGCGAAAGCTTCGGAGCCACCTGCCAAAGGCAAGAGTTGTTGCCTGCTTCTGTGAAGGCATGACTGTGAGAGGGCTCTTAATGGCTATGCGACGCCTGGGACTCGCTGGAGAATTTTTGCTGCTGGGCAGGTAAGTAATACAATACACTTGTAGTCAGCCTTTTAACCGAGGAGGGAAAAAAAATAAGACAATCCAGTCAAGCTTACATAAAACACATATTCAGGGCCTCTTCTATAATATGCATATCTAAAAGATAGTAAGTAATGTCAGCCATTTCACGATGGTACATAATCTACAAAGACATGCATCATTCTCATGACATGCCAGGCAAACACATTTGTTTGGCCAGTCTTAATAGCATTGTGCAAGGGAAGGATTGTGACCCAAATATTTGATCCGTATGATTCATTTTGTTCGCTGCAGTTTAAAATGCATCATGTACATACACAGCCTGAAGCTATGCCTCACTGGAGTAACACTGTGCCAGGAATTGCTGATGTGGTCTCTGGGTGGACCTGAAATAGAACTTCCCAAAACAAAGTTTGTTAATCATCACCTTTTCTTCCTGACACAATATGCTGACATGTGCATACTGTCTTACAGGTAATCCTTTTGCTTAGCATAATGATATCCGTGATTCCTTCCCTAACCATCAAAGAGAGAAAGGTGAACTCAGATGTGTATTCATCCAGCAGAAAAAGACCCTGGGATAGTAAGCAGAGAAGTAAAAGATATTGATGTAAACCTAATGGGATCTTTGTATTTGCCACATATTCAACAAGTAGACTCTAAGTTAGATGGGAAAAATTGTGTATTGACCACAAAATGAAGCATACCAGGAGTCATCTTACGTGGCCTGCTGCCTTTCCAGTGCATTGTTAGAAGGATGACCTGATCATATCCCAAGCATGAACCCTACAGGAACACAAATAAAATGGTGTCAATGAAACCCGATGTCCTGGTGAGGCCTTCAGAGAAATCTGTAAGGACTGCAGCTCTGCCCAGATGCCTTGGAAACTGCGACACTGAGACTGTCCCACTGGTTGGACACCAACCTCTATTCCTAGTCTGTCCTGTTACATACAGCTGCCCTTCCCCCTTGGGCAAAGGGAGAAGCAAACAGACAACAACAGGGACTCCTGCCTCTGCCTTACTCTTTGGCATCAATCTACACTTTGGCAATTTCAGATGTGAATTTCTTAATTATTTCTTTGTCTTATGGCAACTCTGCCTTCCCTTTCAAATATATTTTATCTGCAGGCTCTTCCATGGATTATCTTGGTCTTTTTCTCAACTGACACCCAAAGAGACCACAGCCCTCAGGGTTTCACCTAAACATATTTAGATGTCTACAATTTAGACACTTCCACGTGGGCTAGCCATCAGGATTCCCTCTATAGTTAATGGAGAAAAATAGTACCTTCTTAGGTCCCTTGTTTGTAATGTGGACATTTCAAGTAGCTAAGAGAAGTCACAGTCTAGAAAAGAGATTATACAAAGCCTCTGTGGATGATGAGCTTTGGTGGAAAAGCCTACTTGCCAGTTGTTTAGAGTAAAGTAGAACAAATGACACCTCCACTGTCTAGATGAATCTGGTGCCTCGTAACCTTTGCTGTCTTCTTTTATTCTAAACACAAAAAGTTGCTATTCTCTGCAACAGCACCACAATTTAGAAGCACTTAAACATAATTTTCAAAAAATTTGTTGACCCTTAACTCTTGCAGACTCCAAACCATACTTAATTTTATATGGGATTTGTTTATGTACAGCAGTGCTAAATTTAGCTCTCCAAGATGCTTTTATCAATAAGGACTTCAAGAACTGGTGACTATGACTAATGGAGCAAAAAAACTTATGTCTTCAAAAAAGCAAGGTCTAGAGAGAGTTGGCTTTTTTTTTTTATTCAGTGAAAAATACCTGTTTCTAGCTACAGTGAGAGTTGTCAAACCTTATTATAAGAAAGTTGTTATTCAGTATATGACTTCCATTCCGTAAACTGAAAATGATAGCTTCTCTCAGAAGTCTAAACTGTTTGAAGATGAAACAAAAATCCTTAATTCTACTGGACCAATTTCTGTGTGTCCATGCCTGCGGCAGTACTGTACAATTTCTTTGTGAAAAATGTACCATAAACTAGAAGTGTTTACAAAGAAATAAGAGAAGTGTAGTGATTTTTTTTTCCTGTTGTGTTTGTTTATTAGCAGAGATTCCAAGGTAATGGCTGAGAAGTGGCTACTCAGACATAGGTTAACTTGTCCCCAGACAGTAGCTGCTGGAGACAGATATGAACTTATTTAATTTCACCCAGCCAGAGCATTCCTATGGATTTATCAGACAGCTGAGGACAGCTGGAGTGGTGCAGTGTCTCTACATATGGCTTTGCACTGTGAAGATCTCAAGGATCTGGAGCCTCCCATCCTCTTTTAATAGATTTGGTTCAACTTTGGTATTAAAACCATCTATAAACCAGAAATAAAACAACTAGTTTTGTCTACTGAGGACTTCTATTTGGCTTTGAGTCACCCTTAGTCAGGAGAGAGGACTGTTTTATGTCCTTGCAGTGCAGCAAGACTCATGTGCAGAGTGTGGGATGTTGTAGAGTGGTTATGTTCCTCAAAAATATTCATTCTTATAAAAATATTATTCTTCTGCTATCAGATAAACTTTAGGCTTTGCAACAGAGAGGAAAGAAAAAATGAAAAGAAAAAGCAGGGAACTTGCAGGAAGGCTCCTTGACATAGATTGGATGCAGGACAATAATGTCATTGTCCAATGATGGCCTGAGTTCCTGTAAGGATTTAAAGCTCTGTTTTCCAGAATCTTGATGTGCTCTGTGCTCTCTTGGTTTCAGATGTTTGGCTCTGTTGACTACGAATATATAACTGTTGCTCCAGAGCTAGGATTGTTGGTTAGTTCTGTGGAGAACAGCCTAAGGTACTAATGTGGGATAGATGTGACGCTAGGACAAACCCATATCTTACAAGAGGACTTTGTTGGGTACTTTTTTGTACATCATTTACATAGGGAAAAGGACATTTAGCAAGATTTTGAAAAGTACAGGTGGTTCAGAGCACTCAAAAGGGAAAGAGCTATCTCTGAAATAAACGGTTTATGAAGTAACTCCTCTTGTGAAGCTGTGCAGGAAAATGAACTAGGATAAGATTTATACTTTCATTCGTGCTCTGATCCTGGAGTTGCTCTGGGCTGCCCACTCAACTGAGAAGGTTATAAAAGGACAATCCAAGTGTAGGAAGAGCAACTGTTACTGAAAGGCAATGGGCTCACATGGCAACCTTCATCTAGTAATGGATATTTATTTGTTACCCCACAAATGCATACTGATTCCCCCTTGTTCTGTGAAGTGCAGTATTATTTCATTTTATTTCCAAATACACGGAAACAACTAAAGTCACAAAGACACACAGTAGCTCTATGGGAAATCACAAGAAATCAACATTTCCACTTCCTTTTAGTTATTTTTGTTCCATTTACAATTACCTCTATTTTTAATCTGTAGTCTTCCAAAAATACTGTGATTTTTGGAAGCTATGGATTCATCAAAATACCTCTTTTATGCTCAGATGAACAGAAAATGGAGTGGCCAAGGAGAGTGCGTATCAAATATATCACCCTGTAGAGCCCCAAAGGGAGGAGAAAAGATATCCTTCAATAAACACTCCACTCTTGAAGTACTATGCAGTTCCTGAAGTTGCATTGCCTGCCTGTGACAGAGATGAAAGATGGTAAGACATTAGTGACTGTAGCATTCCAGAGCTTTTTGGTCCATGGAAAACATTTTAAATGCTCAGCAAATATTTGCATCATGCACCTTGATGAATTGTATTTAACCTCAAATAAAAAGATGAATGTGCTGACTTTCAAGTGTGAAAAAAATGTTATTTTAATCTAACTGTTATTCAGCTTAATCAAGATATGGACACCATCTGTCTGTCCTTATTGCTTCTGTCACCCACAGGTCATATGCCAAGAGATATTCTTACAGATAAGATTCATTAGAGAATAAAAAATACATTCACATAACAGAATAACTTCAGAATATATTTCTGAAAGAAATATGGAGCATTAACTGTGTAGATAGAACTAATTTGGTTGTAAGTTATTTTCAGCTGTTCCTCATTTTATGTAATATTTGGCCCCAATAGCTGAAAGTTTCTTTCATGTTGTACGTACACCTTCATCCTGCTCCTCTTGACTACTAGTTTCTGATGTTTGAACCAAACTTCTGTGATAACTCTCTTTGGTGATAATCTTATCTGATATTTTTCATCTATAAGGTTTCCAAAATCTCTCTCTAAATGACTAAATACTTTAGTGCTAGGTCACATGATTTTTTATAATACAGTAGAAATTATAAACCACAACTGAAATGATATATATTGACTATAACTGTCCTAAATAAAATGGGTTCAGAGAACAGTACCAGAGTAATGGATAATGTTATTTTTTTTTTTATTTTTTTATTTTTTTTAGGCATTACTTTATCCAATAGCAAGTAACATTTTTGAGATGGGACTCAGACATGGTGTGGGTGACAGCACTGTCAGGGATTGTTATCAAGAGGCAGTTTGGACACAGATACTCTGTTTTGGGATAGAAGAATGTTAAGATATACGGATGCAGGCCTGGCAAGGGAACTGTCACTGGGTTGTTTCATTTAATAGTATAAAATTAATTATTGTACAAACCTACAGAGTAAAAGACAGAAATTTTACAAAATATTTGAGATTCCAAATTCAAGACAGTAGGACATTTCCTACCTTAAGGAGAGAAGGGAAAAGAGAAGGGCAAGTAGAGGTATATAGAGATAAAATGCCTTGCTCAACATCTCCAGCTTCCAAATGGCATTCCAGAGGCATCACTGATCTACAAGGATTACTGGGACTTCCATATGCTTCATGTTCCAGTATGTATATTGTGTGTCAGATTTACTCTGGTATTAAGTAAGTGAGAAGCATTGCCACATCTTGAGAACACCTTCCCCCCATCCCTTCCTTCTTCCCAGGCTCAGCTCTGCTCCTGATATCTCTACCTCCTCCCCCAGTGGCGCAGGGGCAGGGAATGGGGGATGCAGTCAGCGCTGCCACTTCCTTCATCTTCAGTGAGGGGAG